ACACTATTTGCTTTCATGTTTAGCGATCATATATGTGAAAAATTTTGTTACCCAAGATGCATTCCAAAGGGGTTTCAAATAGGAACGTACCAAAGTAGAAAAATTTTTTTACTACTTGGAAATAAGTGATTTCAGAAATGAAAGCTAGCCAAGAAAGAGAATTGGTGATCTTAGGCTTTCAAGTAATATTTCATTATGAATTTGATATGTAAAATACAATATATAAAATTTGTAATACCTAGGATGACCTTCTGAAGGCATTCGGGCTTTTATGCCAAAAGCCTATTTCTATACTACTGTTTTTATCCTAATAAAACACTTTTAAAGTTCACTAAAAGACCTAAAAGTTTTTCTTTACCTGACGAATATGAAGTTATTACAAAATGAGAAAGAGGAAAATCAAATACTGTCAAATGTTCCATACATTACGAAAATTCTAAACCAGTTTTTAGAATATACTATGGTGATAATTTTGATCAAATGTTAGAAACAACACAATTATGTATAAATGAAGTAACACAAGTACAAAAAATAAGCTTATTAAATCAATATTTTTTTTAAAAAAAGCATTTTATATATATTTATTCAAACCGAATTTTTTTAGTATAGCATTATTTTTTGTATTTTTATTTTTATTATTGAAATAAATACTTTTTTTTTTCAATAAAATACAATTAAATTATTGATTTATAAAATATTTAATATGAATGTTTTTAAGAGTTAATAAAAATTCAAACTCTAATATTTTTTGTAGATTCTTCATCTCAATAATAATTCTTTAATATCAGGTACATTATTATTTGATGTCCAACTTCAAGTTCTAAAAACTGTTTGTGAAAAAGAATAAAAAAATTAAAATCTTATGAAAGTATAACAGAGAAAACTAAAAATGAAAGGGCCTGACATCTTGCAAAATGTACTAGATCAGCTTTTGAAGATCTTAGTAATTATTGTTATAATTCTGAAGATGAATTAACTTTAAATTCAATAAAATTTAGCGTTGGCATTCAAAAAAATTTTTATCAAATTGATTTTAGTAAAGTAGATAAAAAGAAATCAAACTAAAGCGTGCTTTTACAATTAAAGCTATTGATCAAGAACAAATATCTTAAGATGGTTATAGAATAATCACATCTTTATCTAATGATCTTATTAAAGAATAGGCAATGTCAAAAGAAAAAGCAATCATTAATAAAGAAATATAAGAAAAAATTCCAATTTCTATTATCAAATTAGATAATAATTATTCTACTGAATCTTTTGAAAATACATCAATGATAATTGATCCTGAAGTAATCCAAATAGTACATGAGTCAATTGGAAATAGTGGACAAAGAAGTATTATAAAAATATTGGAATATTTAATTCCTATTTTAATAGAATATGATGTTTTAGATTCCAATAATCCAATTATTCATCTTCGTATATCGAGTGATAAGTGTAACGTAGGATGACAAGTCAAACATATTATAATTACTTACGCAATTATGAATGATAAAGATTCTTTAATGAAACCTAATTTTTATTATACAATAGCTCTATATCCTGGCATTGAAAATTATATTATATTACAAATAGTATTAAATCCAATACTTAAAGAACTTCAGCATTTAAAAGAATATGGATTTCAAGATCAAACTGAAATTATTTAGACTATTGAATTATATTTTAGTTCTGATTGGAAATTTTTAACGCAAATTTAAATTATTTTTGTCCTTGGTATACAGTAATACAAAATGATTAAAGCGATCTTTCAAAATGCTAGAATATAATAAAAAATATGAAAAGTTTAGAAAAGAATTTTACTTATTATTCTGGTTATATTAAACCACCTTTATTTATTATAATTCCTATTAAAAACTAAGTAGTTGATGAATTACATGTAATGGTCTGAATTACAGATCATTTTTGAATACTTATAATTCAAGAATTTAAAGAAATGAATAAATAGAATAATTATACACGAAAACTTATTATGAAAGAGATAAAATTTATTGAAGTTAATTTTCATTTTTATAAAAATCATAAAACAAAAACTTGGTAATATACATCTTTAATGGGACCTGATAAACTTAAAGTTCTTTGACATTTTAATTTTAACAAATTTTTTTGATCATCACGAGCTTAACAAATTTGAAATTTATAGGATTCTTTTTTGAAATTATATGAATTAATGTAAAATTCTAAAACTGATCCAATTGAATTTAAACAAAAAGCATTAATTTGACTTTAAATTTTTTTTAACACCTTCTTTGGGAATACCTAATACTTCAAGTTTTATTCATAATTTATATATGCCTAAAGATGTAACACCTTATATGTATGTACTTGTATATCATGTGCATGAAATGATGACTATATATAAATCTTTTGAATTAAAATCTTTTTCGTGTTCAGCAGTTGAGCGTAAAAATCATGATTATGTATTATTCTTTTTTAGACGTACAATGAAAGATGGTGGTAAAGAAGTGAATCAAAAATCAGCTATTTGGAATATTTTAGAATTTGAAAATCAGGTATTATATTTTTTTAAAAATATTTTACCAAATACTTTAAAATTACCTAAAAAACTTCGAATAAAATAATTTATATATTTTATTTTTAAAATTTTAAAAAATTTATTTTTTTATTATAATAAAATTTTTTTTTACATGCTACCAGAAAAGTGTAAATAAAATAAAAATTAAATTTACTCTATGTAAATGCACAACTAATAGTAAAGTTCAAATTAATAAACCCTAAAGAACAAGGAATATTATGAGTATCATTTTTTTGTTTTATCTTCCAAGAAATAATAACTTGAACAAGTTTTTTTTGCTTATTAAAAATTTTTTTGTTTTGTGATTCTATTGTATAATTTTGTAAAAAATCAGACCTTTCTAAAGAATCAGATTTGTCTAAAGGATCAGTTTCTTCTAAAGAATCAGGTTCTTTTAAAGAATCAGATTCTTTTAAAGGATTTGAAGGTCTTTCATATGTTAATACAAATGTTCTTTGATGATGATCAAAAAATTTTGTCCTTCAAAATTAATCATTAAATAATTGAGCTAAAGTATCATATGCTGCTTCTCCACAAAATATACATTTATACTCTTGTTTTTTTAAATTAAAATAATGAATATATCTTCCAAAAACTGCAAAAAATAAACTATTGCTATATAGAAATGTAATACTTTGTTTACCTATAAAGCAAAAGTGTAATATTAAATTATTTGAATTAAGTTACTTCAAAATTGCATAAAAAAATAATAAATTTATTTATCTGTAGATTAGAAATATAATTTGAGTCATTCTTTAATCATAAATACAATAGTTTTACTAAATTCATCTATAGCATTTACAGATAATGTATAACAATCATTAGGTATAGTATTATATATCATAATAGTTTGTTGATGCCAAAGGTATGCTGCTTCTCTTTTGTATTGCTTATTACATATAGAACATTGATAAGATGTTCCAACTCTTGGAATTGTATAAGTTGTTTCTAGAAGTGTTAGTGAAAGCATATTACTCATAATTAATAATAAATTTAATTATTAGAATATATATTAGATAAAAAAAAAAAATAAAAAAATAAAATTACTAAATTATATATTACTATTTCTAATATACAGACCCCCGCTAAAAGTCTCTGAACGCTTTTTGGCTCAATATAAAACTTAAATTTTTTAAGTTTTAATTAAAAAATATTTATTAATATATTTATTAAAGTACGATATGCTACAAATTTGGTACTAAATAATTAGTACTT